GTTGACCAGTGAAAAGAATGAGGAGACCCCTGACTCATAACCAATCTGATTATCTCCAATCTCTGTAACACTCTCAGAACTCAGAACTGAGTTGTGATGCTAATAATGATAGGAAAGACAGAATACATGGCAGAGAGAATACATGACTTTGGTGCTCATTTTCCAGGTGGCAAAACAATTTTTTTTTTTTTTTTGGCAAAAACATTTTGCCCAGTGCTGTTGACCTGTGTGCTGTGATGCCATTACACATCTCAAGAAAATCCAGTCCTCAGTTGTGATTGACTGTTCCTTTTAGTGCTAACGTGGAGCTCTCCAGTAAGGAGACATTCCTACCAGCTCTTAAGGAACAAGCAGATATCTTGTCCAATTACTTCTAGTTAGATTCATTACAGATGTTCAATGAAGGGGTGGTGTGGTGAGAAAGAAAACATACCTAACAGTTTTATCTTGCACATGAGAAATGACCTAGTTCCTTGTCCAGTGTCACAGCCTTCAAGGATCAAAACATTTTGCCTGTCAGTTATTCAACCCCCAGATTGCAGGTTTGTGTAGTGTTGCCCAAGAGCAAATGAATGGGAAAAAAGCTCAAAGAGAAAAAAGTCATGTTAGTATCTTCAAACTGACATCTTTTCATTTCAGTATAGGAAATTTCTATCATAGGAAATGATAGCTGCTGCCTAATTGAGTGGAATGGAAGTAGTACATGATATGGGTCTTTGCTTTGTTTGAGATGGGCCCTCCATCCTCTTGGGGAGCGTTTCAGTCACTGGACTGCAGAGCCTTTTGGGGACAGGATCTCTCCAACTAGATCTGACCTACCAGAGCCAGAGAAATTTCCTACTTTATACACTGAGGTGAGTGTCCTGGTCACACCTGTGAACCAAACTGTCTCAAGATCAAAGTCTCAACATCTCCTCCCCCTCCTAACACATTCACACTTTCCTCTTGGTTTCTACCCAAAACCAGAGGGATTCTCCAAAGCAGACTCCTGGCAAAGGTTTTTCTTGCAGCAAAGGTTCACGTGAGTGAGACATTGCAAGCAAGGGGTGAGAAGAAGTATGTGAAGGAACAGAGGGACAGTGATGACAGATGGCAGAGGAGAGTTAATACTCTATGATGTGCAAGGGTGGTGGAGAAGCAAAGGAGCAGAGAAAAAGAGGAAAAGCCCTTAGGTAGGATGAAGTGGGGGGGCATAGCCTGCAAATTAGGAATAATCAGGCTCATCAGATGCATTGTGGCATGCATCAGAGTGCAAGTTCACATGCAGCACTTGTCTTTCCTGTTCGATGTTGTAAAAATATTGAAAAGTGTAAAATAAATCTGTGGTCCAGTGACTGATAACTGCTCCTGGGAGGGAGGTGATGCTTGGAATGAGAACCAAGAGGTGTCTCAGTTTCCTACAGCTGAAATTAAACCACACTTTGTGAAACTGTTTCACAGAGCTCTGTTTCCAGGTCTGTAGCTGCCACCTCACAGCACTCCTGTGAATCTAGCTGTCCCTAGACTCCCTAAAAACAGTTTTAGAAAAAAAAAATCCCAAATAAAAAAATGCCTCTGGACTGGAACTAAAAAGTTAATCAGCACAAAATACAGTACACATTTCTTGTTCTTGTAGAAATTCTTGAAATGTTTATCTCTGATCCTCATCATGGCAGTGTTCTTAAGGTTCTAATCACTCTGTCATTGCTGTTTTGATCACTGCCTCCATTGTGATGGTTCAAAAGCTCAGTCTGAATAAATCCACCTGCACAGCATGAAGCAGCTAGAGCCTTAGTTTGAATTGACTCAGCTTTGAGAAAACCCTTAACTGCCTTTGAAATAGGTCAGAAAATTGCACATTTGCTGACAGACCGCTGGTCTGACTAACCCTTACAAGGCAGATTTCAGTTTGATAGTCCTGATAGTCAGCCTTTAAAAGTGACTTCCCCTTGCTCTTAGTTTTATTTTAGGATGTTATCTCCACATAAATGAGTCTCCCTTAATTTTCCAGTCATTGAAAAGGAGGAGAAAAAAAAAGTGCAGGGATCAGAATTTCTTACCTAGTGTGTAGTTATTGGAAGTATTTTTCAGTCGTGTAAAGTCCAATTGTGTTTGTCATTTTTCATTTAAAAAAAAATGCATCTCAATTTCAGCCTAAGGGCCAGACTCAGGACTGAGAACCTCAGGTGTTAATTCTGTGGGAGAAGTGTTGGAAGGAGGCAGGATCCAGACCTTGGTCTATCAGGTTACTGCATTTCACAGAGGGAACTTTCTCTCAGAATGATCAGAAATTTATCCAAGGTAACTTGTGTTGGGAAAAAAATGTAGTCAGTAGTTGACATTTTCCAGGCACCTGTTTGAGCTGAGCCCCTAAGAACAGGCAGACATGGCCACATCCCCATTGATCTGAAGCCCTCCCAATGTGTGGGTCAGCTCAAGAGACAAATCCCTGTGGTCCTGCAGAAAGCAGGGGTCCCTCTACACTCTTGTGGTAGAAGGAATTGAGTGCTACCCCAGAACTAAACTCTGCCTTGGGTCTCTGCCCCATAGCTCTTAGGAGAAGCCAGTAAAACCATGTCAACCAAAGCAGACATATTCTCGGGTCTCAGTTTCTGGGATCATGCCTTGAAACACCTAGGGACTGACCAACTGAAATCAGTATGGGCAAGGCTTTGGCCAAAGCTGTGTTACTAGGGACAAATTGAGTTTATCCAACCAATTTCTACTCCACCAAATAATCCACCCTTTGAGCCCATCTCTCTCCAGCTTAGAGAGAAAGGATGTAGAAAGGGACCATGTCAAAGGCCTTACAGAAGTCCAGACAAACAATTTATTTTCCCTGCTGGAGTCAGTCCACTGACAAAGGCCATCAACTTGCTTTGGTGAAGCTGTGCAGACTGTCCTGAGTCCCTCCCCTGTCCTCCATGTGTCTTAGCATAGCTTCTGAGAGGATCTGTTCCATGATCTTCCCAGACACAGAGGTTGAGGCTCACAGGTCTGTAGCTCCCACAGTCCTTTCTAATTTTTTTTAAAGATGGGTATAATGTTTTCCCTTTTTCCAATTACCAGAAAATTCACCTGGTTGTCATGACTTTTTGAATATCATAGAGAGTATCTTGGCAACTACAATGGCCAATTACCTCAGGACTCTGGGATGCATCTCATCAGGTCCCATAGTCTTATGCACAGCCAGGATCCTCAAGTGGTCACAAATGTGATCTCTTACAATGGGATGCACTTTGCTGCCCTTGTCCCCAGTTATCAAGGCTGTTTGCTCCCTTACCCACCACACTTATTTCCTGACAGACCGTGGTAGCCAGCCCAGACAATTTAGTGGCTGGTGGACAGGAAATAAATGTTTCCTGTCTGCCTCTTCCCTGATTAACCAATAAGGTCATGGATATAATAAAAGGTTTGGATTGGAAGGGATCTTTAAAGACCACCTAGTCCAACCCCAAATGAAGGACATGTAAGTGGGAAAGCCTTTCCTCAGGCTGACCTCCTGATCCTTGTAACCACTCTGTCTAACCTGGATAAAACCAGCAGGAAAATGGTCAGCTCCTGCAAAAGTCAATACCTAGGGAAGCAAAGTATCTTATGTGATTGAAATAAAAATATAATGCTTTGGGCTTGTTTTTTCATTTTTCTTTTATAAGCTAGTTTCAGGGTATTTTTGGAAGCTATTTCAAAAGAAGGTTTTGTTTTGTGTTTTTTTTCTGATTTGTTGCCCAGATGTACAAGTGACAAACTGAAATATGGCCAGTAGATGCTTCAGAGCAGCCATCTTCTCTCAAGCAGAGGGTGCTGGAAAAGTGGCTGTTGCATACAGGATGGTGAGATCCCTGCAGGTTTTGGTTGTGTGTTTTTCCCCTTTGTCCCCATCTTGGATTGCACAGTTGCTGGGAAAATTTATTCAACCAGCTGGCCAGCACCAGCAATTCCACTTACCAAGACAGGGGGCTGTCATCTGGGTCTTTGAGAAGACTCAGAATTAGACCCACAAAGGAGGTGAGAAAACCATTTTAATTTTTTTTTTTTTAACTGTTAAAAGGTTGTTTTTCAGACGTTGTATAAGATGTCCTATTTGTCTCTAACTTCTCACTCATTACAAACAGATTGCAGGAAGGAAGTACTCCACCCAATTTCTTAAATTATCATGCACCATTGCTTAAAGGTGTCATCTTTGTCTCAAGATAAGTCTGGTTTTACCCCTTCTTTTTAAGAAAAAGAAAAGAGGGAAATAAAAAAACCTGAAACACCCAGATGATCTTACTGCTTGTTAATTATTAATTGTATGGCTATTATTCACAGAAAAGTATTATACTCAGAAAAGCTCTTGATTTTTCCAGACACACATTTGCTAAGAAATCTTTTCAGAAAGATACAAAAAAATTTTGTGGTATTTCTTGCAGAAAGGGAATGGGGTGTGTGAGGGGGAGGTTACATCGTGCATATTTTCAAAGTGCTCTCTATTGCAGTTTAAATCAGAAATCTGCAGTCTATTCCTGTGATAAGTAAATCATTCTTATACTTTTAGTCTTGTAATTACTCCTGAGACCATCATACAAAAAAAAAAAAAAATTGAGGGTCAAATTATGTTCCCAGCTCTGCTAAGGTGCAAGTAAAATGAGGGATGTGGTAAATCCTGGAATGATTCCAATATTCCTGACATCCTCATGGGGCTATAGGCTTGCTCTTGACATCCTCATTGCCTTTGCTTGCAAAGCTGTGCATTCAAAATGCTCCCATTCATGGCAGGGCACGTACTTCAAGGTGACTCAGGAAAAACCCTGCTTGCTTATGGCTCTTGTGTTGGAAGGGCAGTGGGGAGGGGGAAGGAGTGAGGAAGTAGGCAGCATGGGTCAGGAAAGTCTTATAGGAGTGCCCAGACAGCTGGAGAGGAGCCACCTGGGGCATTTGCTGTGACAGGTGTCCTTTTAGCTGCAGGTGTCCAGAGGAGTGGCAGCCTCACACATAAACCTGCTGGCTTGGACAGCCACCGTGCTCCGGCAGCAACTCACCTCGGGCTCCCTTGGAGCACAGCTACCGCCCTATGGAGCTGCTTCTGTGGCTGAGGCTCCCCAGCAGCACACGTGGACCTGGGAGCAAACCGTGGGCAGCAGGTGAGGCCAAAAAGCCACTGCCTAGAGGGAGGAGAGATGTAGATCACCAGGTTGATTTTCTGCTGTGCCACCCTTTGCCATACACTTCAGATATTTGGGGGCACGTAACATGATGGGTCATGCCTGGAAATGGCCGATAAAGCACAAACATGGTTAGGAAATGGCCATGCAATGTGTTAGCACTCGATGATCAACAGCACAAACACTCGTTACAAAGAGGAAACTAAATTTACGTAGACAGATTGAAGATAATCTGCAGATCCTTCTGCCATTCAGTTTTTAACTGCAGGCTCTGTCAACTCATCTGCACTTACCCTTGACCCGGGCAACAATGTATTTTGCTCTCAGTCCAGATATTTCTTTGCTCCATGACTGAATGTTTATTGTATTGTCTTGAGTCGTTTCCTTTAGGAATGCAAAATGGAAAGAAGCTTTGGAAGAATTTTTTTTAAGCCTGAGAAATGTAGTCCAACAGGGTGCAGGCAGGGCTCCTGCACTAACGTACACCTTGCATTTCTAATTCAGAGACATTCATATGCTGGAGTATGCTGATGCCAAGAAAGATCATACTTTAGATGAGCTAAATTAAAATAGATGATCTATTTTGTGGTGGAAATTGCCTTTCAAAGAAGTGGCAATTGTTCTGGCACAGAGAAGTTTGCTGTCTTTTTTGCAAACGGAGCTCTAAAATAGCAGTCATTTCAGGCTCCCCAAAAAATCATGACATGTGTATCTATTCCAGATTAAATGTATTTTCAGTTCTGCAATTCTTTTCTCAGGAAGTTCTCAGCATATCTTCATTTCCAATGCATGTTTCAGGAATGTATCTGTAGATCTTCGCTTGTGCCTTTCATTGAAACTCTTTGCAGCACAATAACAACAGGATCAAAGTGGATACTGTTTAATGCCAACAAAAACTTATACAACCCCAAAGAAAATCTTCAGTTTGGCAATATAGGCTAAGTGGATTATTGTTATCACTGTTTCAGGCATATAGCACATCATAAAAATCCTACACAATACAAAGTTGAAAGCACCAGTGTGCTTTTTGATTTCCCTGAACTGTGTACAGGAGGAAGTGAAAAGTTCTGAGTAAGAAGTTTTTTGAATAATTGTGATGCCATTGCTAGTGAGTGGGGAGAGAGCACAGAGACCTGTGAGCCAAAGCAGCATCTCTAATATAAGCAGTGTTTCTTCAGGAAAATGTAGGTCAGGGAAACAAACACATCAGTTAGCTGTTTGTCATTCCTGCACTGAAAAGTGTGATGTGCTTTCCAAAATTAGAGTGTTGGGGAAGGTGCACACCAGAGGAGCTGATCTGAACACCTCAAATGGTTGCAGTGTCAAGTGATCAGCTCCTGGGCAGTGCCTGAGGGCTCTGCGTGCAGCCTGAGCTGGAGCATCACCTGCAGGGTGACAGAGAGCAGGGCTGAGGAGCTGGCTCTTTGCTGCTGACAGCGGGCAGCTTCACTAATGGAGCCCAAAGGCATCAGGCTGCAGGATTCCTGCCAGAAGCCTGAGCTAGCAGAGGAATGAGCAAGCAGAGGACTGACAGGGCAGTGTGCAGCTTTTTGTCTTGGGTTTCTCTTCTGCATTGGTACCTAATGCTGCCACAGGCATAGGATGAATTTGGTGATCCCTACTCAAATTGCTTTACAAGGTAAAAAAAATGCTCCTTTATTTTGAAAATGGAAGAAAGCCAAATGAGTAAAGAATAAACCCATTTATTTATTTTTAAAATTTATATATGATATATTTTTAAGGAACAAGTGCAACCTTTTCACTTCCTCGTTTTCATCTCAGAAAGAATATACACTTTCATCCATATTTTTTTTAATAGTTATTTTCTGCAGAATTTAATATGTCTCCTAGTTTAATAGCAATTTAAGCATCAGTACATAATGTATCACAAGAATGTGTACTCTTAGGCACTCTGAATAACTCTTCCACAAATTGAATATTTCTTTTAACGTATGTTTTTACCTCCTGTCAAGGTATTCTTTCTTCCTCTGGTGGGGAAGCACATGCTAACACTGTGCTGGGAATAGTTTTGTGGTACCTGCCTTGCTCTGTGCTTGAGGTGTCATACTCAAGAGCAGAGATGGGCAATCAACCTAAAGGCAACCTCTGCTTTTACACCCCCCAGCTGCTCATTTTCCTGTGATTCCCATCACCCCTGAGAAGGTGTTCAGGGGTCACTGCTTGCTGCTTCTCACCCCACAGTTTTCCACAGCACAGAAACTGCAGGAGAGAGGCAAGAGGAATCTGGAGATTGAAAAACACCATCCCCATGTGAATGCAGGGAAAGTCCCTCCATCCCTCCCTCGGTTTTCTCCCTGTACATTATGTGTGTTTTCACTTTTTTCACTTTCCTTACTGAAGAGGACCCACTTGCTATCTCAGAAATTCAAATTTTCACTTTCCACAGCTCCTGCTGCTGCAAGGTTAGTGAGGTGTAGAGGGAGTCTTGAGCCAGCATGAGGGAAGACAGGTAATGGTGCTTCCTCATGGCTTCTGCCATGGTGCTGAGCTCCTGAAGCCAAAAACCTAGGTGTCCTTAGCTAGCTACTGGGCACCACAGTGTAAGATATAAAGCCATTATAAAGTGTCCAAGGATGGGCAAAGAGTGGTGAAGGGCCTTGAGGGGAGGCTGAGTGAGGAGTGGCTGAGGTCACTTGGCTTAACATATTTTCGTAGCTCTAATGGACACATGGGAAGCAGTAACAACTATGCCAGTTAGGGTGGCCAAACTGCTGGCCCACTGTGAGCCACTTTTCTCCTACATGACCTGGACACCTTTGGGGATGCTGGATCCAGTGGCAGAAAAACCAGCCTGTTTGGCTTACTGGGAGCAAAAATTCAGAAAAGCATCTGCAGCAGCATTTTCTTTGGTTCTCATTGACCAGTTCAGCACTGAACAAACTCATAAGAAGCAGCTAGAAGCCAAATGGGAAAAGCAGAAAAGAAAATATTTAAAAATTTTTTGTTTCCTAGGTAGTCAGGCACTATGGCTTTGTGAAAAGCCAAACTTTTCTCAGGTTTGATTTTTTTTTCCTACATCTAATGTTAAAGCATCTTTAACCTTAATTTAAGGCCTTGATGAAAATGTAAGGATTTTGAGTTTTGAACTTGCAGTGGCAGCTAGATTTTCAAATCTCTGAGCACATGTAAGCTTCCACAAGAGCAAAATATTTCATGTTTCCCCAGTTCCAAAAGCATAAACTAATTTGTCCTGGATTCTCTATCCTGCAAATTTCTCCAGCTTCACCTCAGATGTGAGGACAATACTGACTGACCTTCCTTCTCAACTTCCATATGAGTGGCTGCCTCAGCTTTTATAAACACATGCAGTGATCTGATTGTAACCTCTGTTCTCAGAAACATACCTTAAATGTGAGAGGTTGAGTCTTTAACTGAGCCCATGGCCATGGATGATGAGGCATGCTTCCTGCGGGTTTCAGCTCCATCTATTGTTTATTGTAACAATGGAGAAAAATGAAATATGTTTTTGAAATCAGAAATTTTATGACACATTTAGTTTGCATTTCCTACTGAGGAAGCATTAGGAAATACCAAAATTTATAAAAGAGAAGGAATATGAGCAAACAGGATCAAAAATAAGGCTAGTGCTACAAATGTAGCTACATTTGTAGCACTGAGTTACATTGAATACATTTAAGTTTAATTATTCGGTAGGCTAATCACACATATAGAAGCTGCGACTGACATCCTGTACAAGAGCACGGACCTCCAGGAGCATCAAATCCTGAAATGTTGCTCCCACCTGCAAGATCCTCCTCCTGTGCAGAACTTCCTGGCTCCCCACTTTTGAGATGAACTGTGCTGTCCCTCCCCTACAGCACCACAAACATCCTCCTGTTCCTGCCAGCACAAGGCAGGAGAACACAGCTGCTGTCCCAGGGAAGGGAAGAGACACAGCAGGAGGGATGGCCAAGCCAGATGCTGCTTCAAGTGTCTGCAATGTTCCTCTGTTGTTGGCCAGCTTCAGGAAAATCAAATTAGCTGGCTTCCAAGTCCTTGCTCTTTATCCATACTCTTCCCAGCTTTTACCCCTTCAGCAGACTCTGGACTGGATGCAGTGGGCTCTGTCCCACAGATTATATTTTCAAACTGCTGCCCCATGAACCCAATGCCAAACTGAAGTATGCCTCTCTCAGGGCAGCTGAGACTGTGACTTGGAGGGAGACTTAAAGAGCCTGGGGTGTCTTCAAGGACCTTTCTGGGCTCTGCTTTGACTGTCAGATGACTAGGCAGGGACCTGCCTCCTTCCTCTCTCCTTCTCCCTCACTCCCTCCTTGGCAAGAAATTAAATCTCTTTTCTAGACAGAAGTGTCTATCACTTCCCAGTTGTCAAGATTAATCCAGACTCCTGCATTTCAGACTGTTTAATTCACAGGATTTGAATCTCATCCTCCATGACTTACTCCAGAAAGGTAAGCCTTAGCTCATAGGTTTTAATGAGTTAAACTCATTGCAGCCATTTCTGAGCATATATTCAGGATGTAGGTTCCCAAAATAAGCCTTGGTTTACTCAGTCTATGAAACTAAACTACTTTAGACTGAAGCTTAGATGAAATTTGATAACAGATGGGTATAAAAGTGATTTTCTCTCTCCCATCTCCATTTCTCATAAACTGATATAACTATGACATTTCTGTGGGTGTACACATTAGAAAAATTGAAACAAGAGTCTGAGTTAGTACCAGTTGGTGCAACTGATGCTCTAGCAGATTAAGTCTACAATATTGCCAGCTATGTGTAGAGATCTTTCAAATTAAATGTGGCAGAATCAGAGAATGTAACAATAAAATTATGCTTTTTTATTCCTTCAGACTTTTACCTGGAAATCCTACTGCCAGTCTCAGGCATCTAGAAATCCTAGATGTGACAAGTATTAAGTGATAGTTTAAAATAATTTATTATGTTTATAAAAAAAGGATCTGAGATGATATGGATCTGAACCTAAACCAGTTTCATTTATCCACAAAAGACTTCCCTCCAGTGAAATGAAAAAAATCCAGCATCATCAACAGTTTGGAATATGGTCTGATGGAAGAATCCCAGGCAGCTGCACTCACATGTCATGCTGCTGTTGTAAGATGTAGGAGAATCCTTCTCTGAAGGTTATTGTGGCAGCTGCAGCACAGAGATACAGACGGGAGATCTAAATGTTTCCAGAACAACAGGAAACACCAAAAGGAAAGTTAGCACTCATTAAATGCAAAATGACACTTTTAAAAGTGGCTTGGAATGTTACATTGTGGAAACTAGGAGATAATAGCAAGAAAACCACTCTCCCCCTGCATGAACACGGTGAGAAAGCTTGCTTTTTGTGTACATAACCATATTCCTCCTCTTCCTTTGACCTCAGTCAGAGGATGCCTATTTCTAGGCTACCTCAGATCTACTTGCCTCTGTGGATACAGAAGACTACTATTGTCAACCATAATGCTAAAAAAACAGGTTTTGTTGATACTGCTCATTAGGGCAGGAGCTTCATTAATGCACTCCCACAATTCCACAGCCCCACAATTCCATTTCTTTTGTGTCTGCACACAAGACTAGGCACAGTTTTGGCTCAGTATCTACAGGATAACCAGACTCAATTTGCAAGGGCTGGAGGCTGGAGTAAACTTGACCTCACCTGTGACCCATCCCTCTGAAACCTGGAGAGAAGCAGGACAAAGTTTTGAAGGCTTGGCTGTGCCTGTGCCCACTCATGGGCTGGAGTGCAGGTGTATCTGGGCTCCACTGAAAGACAAGCGTGGGCAAATTGCAAACATCTGGCTGGGGAATTGCCACCACAGGAGGAGGATTTGGAAGCTGCAGGGACGAGCAGGTCCCACCAGGCGGTCCCGTGACAGCACAGGAGTTGTCATCCCTGGCTTACCACGGGACCTCCGGCGGCACAGCGGCTCCTCCAAACTCTGGAAATCTGATTTGGTTTTTTGGTTTGGTTTTGTTGTTTTGGATTTGGTATGTTGTTTGTTTGTTTGTTTGTTTGTCTAAGCAGAAATCAACCCCAATAAATAATTTGTGCAAATCTGTTTCTACCCTCCTCTTTGGAGCTGTATTCTATTTTTCAAGAAACAATGTAAGGTAATCATGAAGGAAAGAACAAGAAATAAATCACTGATATAATTAATAGCTTTTTGATCCTGTCTCCATGTACTTTCTTTCCCCTTTTCCCTGAATACATGAGCATGTATTCCTGAGATAAAAGTTTTGGTTGATGATTCAGAATTGAAAAGCTTGGGCTTATCAGCTGTGAGCAGGAACAATGGTGTTACAATAATGGAAAAGTTTCTGGGTTTGGTCAGTAAATATCTATACTGACAGAATACAGCTTGGGATGGAATTACACGTCTGCAGTCCCAGAGAAGGAGGTGAGCTCCGACATCCAGTAATAATCTCTCTCTTTCTTCCACTTGTACTCACAATTATTTTTAATAGCCTGCCCTTCCCCTCTTCCTCTCCTTCCCCCTCCCCCCATCTTAACAATTATTTTTCAGAAACCAGAAAGGTTATCTTCAATCCTTGGCCTTCCATCTCCTTCCTGAACTCCCCAGTAGGACTGTTTACTCATCTATACCAAGCATTTGACTTCCTTTCCATTTGACTCATTCCTCCCAGGTGTCTGTCATCCCTTCCTGGACACAGCTGATCCTCAGGGCTGAGGAGCCACAAGCTGTAGGAAAATCTGGTAGTTTTGAAGGCAGGAGATAAATACTGAAGTATAGGCAGAAGGTGAGAAGGGATTCTCAATGCACCTCTCTTTAGGGGGGTTCCTTGGGTTGTTTGGAGATTTGATGCAAATGAGAGGAAGTCAGTAAAAAACTGATGAGTCCTGATAGTTTCATCCAGACAGCCCTTAGATATAATTAAAAAAAGCTTTGAAAAAATTTTATGAAAAATGTTAAAATCCAAGAAGCAATGGCCCACAGCAAAATTCTCAAAGTTCAGTACCGTCCAAAGAACTACTTCAGAGGCAGCCAGTCTAATTCACAAATGCTGCAAGGGTTCAGTGCTCATACAAAGCATTAACATAACATACACAGAGCCATTTTGAAGCAGAACCCTAAATATTCAGCTGAGGAGTGACAAGAGTTTTCAGATGCTGAAAGCAAAACCCTTGCACCTACCTCAGAGCTCCTGGGACATTACCAGTCCCAGGGCTCAGTGCAGCTGGCTTGGCTCCCTGTCAGAGGAGATCCTTGAATGAAGGTGCCTGAGGCTGAAGAACAGAGAGGCAATGCCCTCATCTCAGCAGGTCAGAGAGCTGCCTTGGGTTGAGCAAGGTCAGAGCAAGAGGTGCTGCTGACTCAAGTTTGGATTCCTGAGGCTGGGACAGTGGCACCTGCTGAAAACCCCTGTTGTTCACTTTGAGGGAATTGCTGCCAAAGCAGGGCAGGAAGAACATGTTTAATGCCATGTTGTATGACTGAATTGTCAGGTTTCTGAGCCCCAAGTGGAAGGCTGTAACTGAAAGCTCATTCCCACATTACTGTAATTTGTAACAGTAATAAAACACCCAAGACACTTCTGAAGAAAGGGACTTTTTCACTCTGACTCATGCCAGGTGCCTTAAGCCTTTTTATGTCAATGCTGTGGCTTCATGAAGATTTTATGCTGAACTTTAAACTCATAAATACAATGCAAGGCAAAAAATGGCATTTTTATTTCCTTTTGCTATGTATTCTGCATTGGGAAGGACTATGAGCATTTTTTCCACTGTATCACAAAAAACTTTTGAAAAATGTACTTTGCATCACCTGTACAAGAAGGCAAGAAACTGGGAGTCCTGAATTGTGAATTATTCATTGATTCACTTTTCCCATCCTTGTGTTCTAGCAATGGGGTCTTTGACTTCTATGAGTAGCTCACGACTTGTCTCTAAATTGCAGCCAAGACTTTGATTTACTACCAAGACAGTTTAACATCCAACAGTTAAAAACATCAAGCCATCTCTATCTCTGAGCAGTCTCACTGGCACAGAATCAATTCCAAGCTATTCAAAGCAAGGACACGTCACAATTTAACAAGCTCAACACTCAACCAATGTATTTAAGGCAGGACTTATTTCCTAGCAGGTACATAGAAAAGGTAGTTTTCTAGTTTTCTTTCACTGTACATATGACCTCTTATGAGGGCATAAAACATCAAATCTATCACCTTTCATGTTATGACATGGCCACAATCTAAATCCATAAATGAAACTTCACTTCCACTGTCAAGAAAGTTCTGTTTCCTCCCTGTAGGATATCACCAAGAACAAGATGACGTTAATTTTTACTTTGTTGTATCCAGCTGAGGTTAGAACCCCATCCCCATGGCAAACTGTCTGAAGAAAAAGCCACTTAGGAGGGGTCAGACTGACTATGCAGTCCAGTTCCTGGAATCCATTAAGACTTTTATATTGTTGTGGTTTTGGCAATGCAGCTGCTTGTCCACAAAAGATTTCATCCAAATAACATACCTACACTTGCCCGTGTAGGAATAAATATATAAAAACTCAAAAAGCTTCTCTGATGAGAAACTGAAAAGCCTTACATTTATCATGTTAGATCTTTTACCTGAGTGCAACATGAAGTACATCACTGCCTGGAAAGAGACTTTAACATCTAAAACAAGTGATATGAAACTCATTTGCATGCTCATGACTGGTGCATCCATAGCAATATTTTTTCACACTGAAGTATCAGGTAGCACATTGAAACTTTGTGTTGAAATATAAATAAGCCACACTGTTATCAGCTTACATTTCTGTGATGGTCTAACCACTGTCTGAAGAGAGAGATTTTAAAACTGTCTGCTTTTATCCCTTCCTGATACCAATAAGTCCATACCACAATAAAAAAGTCATTATCTTTGTGGCTGTATGAAGTAAGTGTAAATAAGGGTGATCTTAGCATTTAAGGCTTTTACCTGTTCCTGTTTTTTCTGCCTCATTACAGCTTTAGAGACTTCCCTTTTGTCTACTGTGAAAGTCTTTTCTTTTAATATATATATTCTGTGCTGTAAAGTACAACCACAAGATTACAATGTCCTTCCTGAAAAGAACTTGTGCAGAAATAAATTCTTTTTGTTCTAAAGAGCAAAATGGTGAGTGGCAGAACAAGCCTTCTTCCAGAGATTATCAGAAAGGGTTCTGACATTTCTGGGAAGTTGAAGCTCTCTTAAAATTTGGGTTTGGTTTGAGTCAGAACAAAACTATAAATGATATTCCTTTTTCCTTTCATTTCTCACAAACCAAAGATTCCAAGAAATTAAGTTTCCTCTGAAGAAACACACCTTGGGTGGTACCCTTCCTCCAGGAGCCTGATGCTTCTGAAAGTTTCAAACCCTCAAGGATTTTACTGAGTGTGCCCCTTGCCTGCTTGCAGAAACACTTTGAAGCACCTGCCCCCAGTACAGGCTCCTCAGGCCATGGCCACCCCGGGCTCTGCTGAACCCCAAAGATTTTTCACTCTGCTGGCTTCATGCTCCAGGACCCAGAGAGCCCTGCTTGGAACCCAGAGACTTTGTTGATATGCTTCGAAAAAAACTCTTCAGGTAATACAGCAGCATTTCTCAGTGATCCAAGAAAAATCAGTCCAGATTTGCTGCTGAGCCCCCATTCTCCCAGGCTGGGAATGCTGCCCCTGGCTCTGCAGCCTAGCTAGGCTCACACTGCTGGGAAAGAGTCAGGGCAGAAAGGGTCAGGAGCATCACTGGGGTAGCTTTATAGCTGTCATTTTCTTGGGAACTGTATCCATGCCCAGATCCTCAGCCGTGGCCCTTTCCTGAGCTCCACCACAGTCTCTGCCCAGTCTGTACCTGCTGGTAAAATCTGTACCTACTGCCCCCTCTGGGCTTCATGCCTGCCCCATCACTGGGGCAATGCCAGATGGTTGCAGGGCTCTGAGCTGGTACACCATCACCATCCTTGTCCTATCCCTGCACCCTGCTGGGTGCTGAGGGATTGACCTGCCACAGGAGGGCACGGCCCCACCAACCTCACAGCCACTCCTGGCTCCTGGCTTCCTCCACCCCACAGTGCGGTGACATCCTTATGGAACAGTGAAGAAGAAAGGATGCTCTTCTGCTCTTGTTTTAGCCACTGTCATTTGTGGACATAAATAAAAATCAGGGCACAAAAATGAGGGAAAAATACAGCTACTCTGTGTGTGCATGAAGATGCAAGCACATGGTTAAAAGAGCATAGCTGATCAGAAAAGGAAGTATTTTTGACATTTCTCATTAAGATTTACTCTTTCACCAGAGAGGTATAGGTATGGACTATGAGGTGAACTCACTAGCTCTGGTGTTATAACAAACAGAAGTGGAGGGCAAAATCTATAGGACTCCAGGCTCTGCTTTAGTCCTTTGGTGGGAGTTTTTACAGAAGGTATCAATTTCCTTACATAACATGCTATCCTTTTTAAAAAAGTCATATAAAAACTAGTGAAAACAATTGGACTTCTTCACTGTCTCCCAGGGGTTTATCCTAAATCGTCAAGTAACTGTCCTGTGAGGAAAACAGTGAAGACAGAAACCAGACTTTTTCACATTAACTCTTTCACAAGAAAAACAGCTACCAAAAAAAACCACTTTTCTACTAGCCTTTCTCTTCAGAAAGAACCTTTTGCCTAGTTATAATTGATTTCTTTATCTGAAATCCTTGAGAAACTCTGTATATTTTCAGCTTGAGTATTATAAGCTGTGCATACAGTGAACATTAATTCAATAATGTCTTCACAATGTTTAAAGCCACATATGTCTTTCCAGGACAGTGAAAGCTTTCCACAGAAAAGTCAATTTTCTCACCACATTAACCAGCTGACCATGGTGTGTCAACACCAGTACAGGTCATCTCCCTGCACTCCATTGTCCCTCCAGCATCCACATCTCACCCATCTTCCCTTGTTCTCATCACCCCACTTTGACTTTCCCTCTCAGCAGCTTGTTGAATTCATATGCATGCAAGAACAGCCCCTCTCCCAGCAGCAAACTCAAGAACAAACACAATAAACTGAGCAACTCTCTGAGTTTTGGGTTTTGTTGTCACTCAGACCTCGTCCTACTCACTTCTGCTGTTGTGGGCACATCGCCCACGTTTAACACTAGTAGGTCTTTTGAAAGAAACACTGAGGGAAATATTTATTTATGAAGCCTAAGTGATTTCAGAAGGCAAAATCTGACTCAGGCTCTTAAATTACAAAAGCAGTTCTGAAAACTTCAGCCTCTTCCTGAGATGGACTTATGTATGTAAAGTACTTGGCAGCATAAAACACAAGTGGAATTACACAACTGAGCAAGAGCAAAATACATAGTTAGCTAAAAAAACAACCTAGATCAGTAGATAAAACAATTAAACCCTGTTTGCAGACAAGAACTATTGCCTTAAACAGGGATCCTTTCACAACTTT